TTTTAATTTTGATGTACAGGTATATTAATTTTCTTTCAGGTTACCCTGTAATTCATTAATTTTTTCTCCCTGCCTGTTTAATGTTGAAATCTACTTGACTTCCTTGCCATTTGGAAGTCCTTTATACTAGTCCTGCTGTTTGCTGTGTAGTTGACTTCATTATAAACTATTATCTCATTCCCTACTGTTGGTTAATCTTCTTAGTTTTACTTTAAATACTTCTATATCTGGACTGAGTTCTGGGTGGTGTTGTCATGTATGGTAATCTCAGGTTGTTATCTGCTATTGTGGGTTTTCAGTCTAAAGAACACGTTTTAGCATTTTTTATAAAGTTGGTCTGGTCACTACAATTCCTTTGATTTCTGTTTATCAGGAAAGGTTCTAATTTCACCACCATATTTGAGGGACATTCCTATTTGCTGGGTATACGATTCTTGGTTGGCAATTTTTTTTCTTTCTTTCAGAGTTCTATATATGTCATTCCATTGTTTTCTTGCCTGTATGATTTCTGTGGAGATATCAGAGCTTAGTCTTATTGACTCTATTTTGTAGGTAACTTTTCATCTTTCCCAAGCTATTCTCAGGATTCTTTCCTTGTCTTTGGTTTTACAAAGTTTGATTACGATGTGTCTTGGTGATTTTCTTTTGGGATTTATCCTGTTTGGGGTTAGTTCACCTTCTTGTATGCTTATCTTCTTGTCTTTTGTGACGTTATGAAGTTTTCTTCCAACAACTCTTTGACAACTTTCTCTGTGCGTTTTATTGGCTCTTCCTGTTCTGGAATTCCGATCACCTGTAAGTTGTTCCTCTTCATGGTGTCCCTCATAACTCTAAGGTTTTCTTCTGATATTTTCACTCTTTTTTTCTGACTGTTCTTCTAACATAGCAGTATAAAGAGATTTATTTTCAAGTTCACTCATTTAGACTCCCATTGCTTCAAATCTACTGCTTTTCCCTTTCGATGCATTGTCCATTTCTGAAATCTTCCTATTAATCTCTAGCTTTATAGTAGTAGGTTTGGTATTGCTTTAAAATTTGCATTTATTCTATGTTTGTTCTTATAGTGTTGTCCTGACTTATTCTAAAGTTTTTTCTGTGTTTTCTTTGCTTACCTCAATCTTTCTGTTAATCAATCCTCTGAAGGTATCTAAATATCATTCTTTTTTGAAAGTATATGATTGGGTATATTTATTTATTTAGTTTGTTTGTTCTAAATATCTCTCTTTTGAATTCTTTTTCAGTTAGTCCCATTACTGTTTTTTCCTGAGAAATGTTTTCTGGCTCTGCATCTTGGTCATTTGTTTGCATCATTCTTTTGTTTCTTCGTGTGAACTAAAATTGTCTACTGTCTCTGGGACATTGTGAGGTTGTCCTATTTGTATTTAATCAATGACTGTATGTTGATGTGTTCTTAGACTTTCATCAGCTGTCTCCTGTTATTGTGGTTAAGTGCTGTTGAGTCGGTTCCGACCCATAGCGACCCTGTTTAGGGTTTTCAAGGAGCAGCTGGTGAGCTTGAACCGCCAACCTTGTAGTTCAAATGGCTTTGCAGTCTGATGCATTAACCCACAGCGCCACACCAGGACTGGACTAATTTGCTGTTCATGTGCCTAAGTTTAGGGTGGGTTTGGCTGTTGGTGACAGCTATCTATCAGAGCTAGTATTGACTCTTGCCCAGCAGGTGGAGGTACAGAAGGTATATGGTTGTGGCTGGTCTGTATGGGCATAGTTGCTGTCTCCTGTCCAGTGGAACGAGAAAACCCCTCCCCCTCACACACAAGGGGAAAAAAAAAAATAGTAAGAAGTGAAAAATGGGCAGCAACCAGAATTAAAGAATATAATAACTATAGAGACAAAAGAGGGGCAGAGAAATGGAGCTACAGAAGAGGAAAAATAAGATGAAGAATTTTTAAAAGGATAACTAAAAAGACAAAAGAGACAGGAAAATGGAGTGATATTAGAGAAAAATAAGAGAGGAAAGGAAGAAATTTAAAAGACAGAAAAATTAAAGAGAGGTTAGATGAAAAGAGAAAGAGTAGCAAAGAAAGATTAAAAGGGGAAAAAAGAAGATGGGAAATGAGAAACAGAAGAAAATAAGGAAAAACAAAGGCCGAGCTAGAACTAGGATAAAATTCAAGGGACTAGAAAGAGAAGGAAGAGGAGGAAGAAAAACAATGAAACTACGGAAGAAAAAACCAAATCCAAAAAGAAAACGAAAAAAACAGTGCAGATGTTGGACCCGGAGAGGAGAGGGGTTCCCACAAGCCAAAGAGCTCATGAGGTGAGTGTGGCAGAGAAGGGACAGCAGAGGACCTGGCCCTAGATGGAGTTCCTACTAGCCTCGGTGTTGTCTATGTTCAGGGCACTCCACCCGCAGCAGTTCGTGGGGGCCCTTGATGGAGCTGGTTTCAGGGTCTGTTAGGACCACAGGGCAGCTTGGGGCAGGGGGACAGGTTTAAGCTGGACTGGTGGTGCTGCAGGTTCTGTAGGTCTGAAACTGAGACGGCCTGAAGCGGGGCACCAAAGCAGCCCACCAAAGCGGCACAGCCAGCTCTCGCCTCACAGTGCTGTGGCTTTCAACCACATGGCTCCAAACTCCCAGAAAGCAGGGCTTGCACTGGGGAAGGAGACACATGAGAGCTGGCCATACTTCTGGTCACCAGGGGAGCATGGGAAAAAAGAAGGAATAGCACTTTCTCATCAAAGCTGCTCACAAAAGTTCCAGATGGTCACGTGGCTGTGGCCAACCGTTCATTGTCAGTCTCACACAGAAACCAGTCCTCTGGCTGTGATGTCGCTTCTTTTACTCTAATTTTTAAGAAGCGACCCTACACACAACAGAACGAAACACCACCCAGTCCTGCGCCAACTTCACAATTGTTGCTACACCTGAATCCATTGCCACTGCCTCTCTGGCAATCCATCTCACTGGGGGTCTTGCTCTTTTTCTCTGACCCTCCACCTTACCAAACATGATATCCTTCTTAAGGGACTGGTCCCTCCTGATAATATGTCCGAAGTATGAAAGACAAAGTCTGGCCATCCAGGCTTCCAAGGAGCACTCTGGATGTACTTCTTCCAATAAAGATCTGTTGGTTGTTTTGGCAGCCCATGGCACTTTCAGTATTCTCCTCCAACACCTTAACTCAAAACATCAATTCTTCTACGGTCTTCCTTATTCACTAATAAGGTTACTGAAAATACCATGGTTTGGGTCAGGTGCACCTTAGTCCTCAAACTGACATCTTAGCTCTTGAACACTTCAACTTGTATAGAGTAAATCATCACATCTATCAATATTTATTTCACAGATTTATTGTGAAATCAATGGTAGCTGAAAAATGGAAACTCAACATTGGGCTCAAGTGTCAGGAAAGAAGTCTAGAAACGTTATGTTCTTTTAAGTTTGAAAATTACCTTAGGCTGTGGATGCTCACAGTATGTTAACTAGAGAAAGAGATCTTTAAAATATTCTGATTCCACTCTTTCATTTTATAGAAGTGAAAACTGAGGCCATGAGACATTAATTAGTTGCCAAGGTTACTCAGTAAATTAGTGGAAGGCCACAATAAAACAAGGCTCTTGTTACTTTTAATCCAGTCTCTTAATATAAGGCTTTTCATAGTTAGCTTATTTAAGCCAGGGCTCTTGAGTTAGAAAGATGAGTTCAGATCCCAGCTCTACCACTGTGTAACATTGTGCAAATTAAATTTCTCAGAGACTTAAAATGTAAAACTGAAAACTGGAGATAAATGATTTCACAGGGCTTTTGTGAGGATTACATCCACACAAGTGCTTCAGTACACATAGTCCCATCAATACAATACTTGACCCTTAACAAGGGCTAAGCATTAGCTGTTACTATTAATTACTGTTAATAATAATGGCATCTTGAGTTCTCTGGATATACAAAAAATGATTCAAATACCATACAATGGAATACTACTGTTATTGTTATGTGCCGTGGAGTCGGTTTCGACTCATAGTGACCCTGTACAGGGTTTCCAAGGCCATAAATCTTTACGGGAGCAGAAAGCCTCATCTTTCTCCTGCAGAACAGCTGGTAGTTTCGAACTGCTGACCTTGAGATTACCAGCCTGATTTATAACCACTATGCTACAATGGAATATTACTCAATCATAAAAAGAATTAAGGTCTGACATACGCTACAACATGGATGAACATTAAATATATATGATAAGTGAAAGAAGCCAGTCAGAAAAAGCCCACAAATTACATGATCCCACTGTTATGAAATGTTCCTGAAGACAAATACATACAGACACCAAGTAGATGAGTGGTTGCTTAGGGCTGGATAAGGATCTGGGGCAGTTGGGGGATTAAGGTGTGATAGCTAAATGGATGGAGATTCTTTTTAAGGTAATAAAATATCCTAACATTGATTGTGGTGGTTACAGAACTCTGTGAATATACTTAAAACCACATGGACAAATTACAACATATGTGAATTATATCTCAATAAAGCTAATACAAAAACAAATTAAAAATTCAAATAAATGCTTAATGAATACATGTTGATTTAAAAGGTCTATTCACATACCAGATATTCTCCACCTGAATTCTAAACTGATGGTCTTTTTAAATATTTCATAATTTAAAAACATTATCTTAAAACTGAAAGTATAAAAGAGAACAGCAGATACATTGATACCTGTTACCCAGACTTAACAGATGTCAATGATTTGCTATATTTGCTTTAGATCTCTCTCTTCCTCTTTTTCCTTCCAGAAATAAAACATAACAGATACAGCACTAGACTGAGATCCACAAGGTCTGCAGTTCAAACCCACCACCTGCTCCTGGGAAACACTATACAGGGTTGTTATGAGTCAGAACCAACTCGATGGCACTTAGCTAGAAGAAGACGTGTGTTCACAATGTAAAGGTACACTAGTTAGGAAATTATTATTTTACATTTTGAAAAGTCTGGAGAAGGTAAGTTGCCTCTCAAGTCGTTTTATCCGTCAGAATACATTTACCTGTGCGAGCAGAGTCTGCATGATGGAATTAGCCAGCTGAGAGTTCCCTCGAAGGACATCATAGAACCCCTACAAGGAATCAAACAGAAAGCAAAGCTCTTTAACAGAGATATTAGTGATGTGGACAGTCATAACTTCACAGGAACACTATATTTCTGTACCTTTTTTTCAGTTGTTTGAGAAAAAAAAAAAAAAAAGAGAAAGACCACATTTGATAGAAGCGGAAAAGAAGAAAGTTTAGGTAATCTGTTTAAGCTAAAAAGAGACCTCTGAATCACTGAGAGCAAGAGTAACCATCTGACGAGAATCCTCAGTTTTTTGTATTTTGCTCTTTTACATTCAGGAATGTCTCCGCCCACCGTTTCTTTCTCTTATCCTATACCAGCAGCTTTGTCTTTTAGAATACTCTTTCTACTTAGTTTTCAGAGCTTCATCAAGTACACACTGCTCCTATGTGGCCTAACATGAATGACCACATTGCTATCCATCTGAAATCTCCCAGTCTTACTTCAAGTCTAGGTCAGAATCCTGGGGAGAAAAACTTAATCTGTGAGAAAAAGTAAATGAGACTTGACAGATTTTTTTTTTTTTTTAAAAGAAATGAAACAAAAAGACATGAGTCATATCATGCATTAATGTTTTTCATAAATATACAATAATTAAAAATACTTAGCCTTGCACAAAAATTTGCAGATGAAATATAAAGGAGCAGTAAGTGTGGCACTGTGGGTTAACATGGGGGACTGCAAGGTTGGTTTGAACGGCAAGGTCAGT